CTTGTGTTTTAGTATCAGAGTTAGAGGAAGAAGAAGTGGTGGTTGCAGAAAGTGAGAATCGAGCAGAGGCGGAGGATTTAGTGAAGAATAAGGCAGCTGGCGCTCAGAGGCATCTTCAAATGATTGGAGCAAAGAGTGGGAAGAAGCAAACAGAACAAAGAAACTTGGGATATGACACTCGAGGTGTGTATGTAGATTAACCTACGAAATGGTTTATGATTTAGATCAGTCACAACGTTCATGAGTTTGATTGTTTAAGAATGTTTGCACAATGCGGATTACATGTACATCCATCAGGATGATGCAAATGAGGATTGGTTCCCTGAGGACCCATTGGAAGCATTCAGAGAAATGAGGGCAAGCAAAGTGTTTGACGTGTCAGAAATGTATACAATAACAAGATGTTTTTTTTTTTTTTGATAAAAAATAACAATGACAAGATGTTTATATTCAAATTTATGTGTCAATGGAATAATTTCACGTGTTTTTAGCAAAATGTATCAATGAAAAGCATTGTTTCGTTTGATAGGAAAGGGATGATGTGGCTTTGCCATAGTGCTTTTGTTAACAAATATACCTAAGAGTGCTTCGAATGTATACAATAACAAGATGTTTATATTCAAATTTCTGTGTCAATGAAATAATTTCAGGTGTTTTTGGCAAAATGTATCAATGAAAGCATTGTTTCGTTTGTAGGAAAGGGATGATGTGGCTTCCACATAGTCTTGTTAACAAACAAATACCTAAGGAGTGCTTCGAATGGATACGCGTGAATGTATACAACAAGCAAATAACTTGGTTAACAAGTAGTCTTGAATAGGGAATTTTCTGATCCATGAGAGCTTACTAGAATAGTTTAAAGTTTAACTAACACACAACGCATGATGTGCTTACGCTGAGTCAAAAAGGTAAAGGATGTTACTAGGGATCCAGAATCTACAGAGGATTTAGTGAAGAATAAGGCAGCTGACGCTCAGAGGCATCTTCAAATGAATGTATACAACAACAGAAGTTTATATTCAAATTTACGTGTCAAAGAAATAATTTCAGTTTTTTTTAGCAAAATGTATCAATGAAAGCATTGTTTCGTTTGTAGGAAAGGGATGATGTGGCTTGCACATAGTCTTGTTAACAAACAAATACCTAAGAGTGCTTCGAATGCATACGCGTGAATGTATGCAACAAGCAAGTAACTTAGTTAACAAGTAGTCTTGAATAGAATTTTTTTGATCCATGAGAGCTTTTACTAGAATTGTATAAAGTTTAACTAACAGAATACGTGATGTGTTTCCGCTGAGTCAAAAGCTAATGTTGTTAGCCAAGAGTTACTAAAAATGTTCTCCAATGAGATCACAAACACAATTGATTTACGCATCTTTGGCTATATAAATGGTTTCAGGGGAGTATCAGAAGAAATTACAATCTTA